ATGGCCAGGCATGCTGCGATCAAGGTTTAATTTGGTCCTAGGCCCAGTAAATCCACAAATAGAAACTTGCAGGCTCGTCCCCACCAAGAGCTTAATGTGACTGCGAGTTTACGCAGCCCGAGTCACCTTTGGGGTGTGGAAAATTTGGGTGATCCCCCGAGGGCCTCATGTTTGGGGAATTTCCACTGTGGCAACTGCTTCTGAGCTCCTGCTGAGACCAGGTGCTTGGAGCAGTGAAGAGGCTGCAGTAGATGTGGGGAAAGAGGTGGTATTCCCAGCTCCATCTGGAAAAGACTCGAGGCCCATATTAACAGAACAGTAGAAAAAGAAGTGGGGATTAAGCAGGTTTCTTGGTGCCTGTCCTGGTCTTCCCTTGGGCTGCCTTCCTCCCTGAGATATTCTGTCCTCTTCTGTAACCCTTCAAGACCACTCTTGCTCATTTTTACCAAATTTTTCCTATATAATGTTAGGTTGGGAAGTCCAAGTGCAATTTTCTTCAGTATCCACACCCCAACCCATATAAGCCTAGTGACATACTAGTAGACTCAAATATGTTTACCCACCAATAGACATTTGCCATTTGTGCCAGGAAAATAACACTAGGAAAATCACAGGAGGGATCATGAATCCTTGTTAAGCATCTGAAAATCAGCTTTGTTAAAACACACACTCATTCAGAAAAGTGCTTTGTAGCAAAGCAATCTCAACAGCGCTCATAATTCTATCACTTCCCATCCAGATTCTTCTGCAAGTAAAAGTATTAATACACCATTTATTTGATGAATTAATCAATGATCAAATGGAAGAGGTTTTGACAATGTCACTAATACCTGCCCTGAATGCTTGCTTAGAAGAGAAACAGATTTCCCAGTATTTTTTGTAACTTACTTTCCCATTGTCTCCAATTAATTTGCTATTATCCCAAGTAGACAGACAACTTCAGTAGTAGCCATCACCCTACATTTTTAGATCATTGACAAAAAATGGATGAGCAATCCACGAAAACAACTAGCTTACTGAAATGCTTGGTTTTTAAAGGAAAATTGGTATTATTAAAAAAAAAAAAAAAAAAAAAGGCCCAGGACTGGTAGCTAGGAGATCCGGGAGACAGAAGCCATGGCCCTGGTTCTGACAGTAAGTAACCCTTTTGCCTTGTACAGATAACTTCTCATCTAGGTCCTCAGCATCCTCCTCTGTAAACTGAAGAGTTTAAATGACTCTAAGTTCCTCTCTCTCTCTCTCTCTCTCGATGTTCTCTAACACCAAGTTTATGTGAGTTTCTTTGGCCAGGTTTTAACCAGAGACCATCCTCCGTGAAGGTCAAAGGTCATCAATTCTGAGATGGCAGGAGTTGTTTTTGGCATGTGCAGTCAACCTTTCAAAAAACCAAGAGTTCTCAAGTTAAGCTCCCTTCATGAACCTCTTATTAAATGTAAGTATCACTCTCTGTCCCTCCTGATTTCCTCTGTGGCTCCACTACCTCCCTCCATCAGAAAAAAAAAAAAAAAAAAGATGAGAAAAATCTCTTGTGTTTTCTTCCTTCTTGGTTCTTGGAAAACGGTGTGCAATCACTTCCTCTTCTTCCGTGGCTGCCTCATGTCACCTGTACAAACAAGAACAGAGACAGACCTCAGGCTTCAGGCTTTCCCTAATGGGTATTTTTGCTGTGGGTAAAGATTCACTCTGATTTGGGGCAGTGGAAAGTCGAACACACTTTTCCCAAGGCGACAAGATACAGTTTAGGGAGTTATGAAAAATAGCTGCCATGACGACAGGGGCAGAGAACAACTCTGCTGTCCTCCCTCCGTGCCGGGTTCACAGTTAGCCAGGCACCCATGATGCTGCTTGCCTTCAGGTGCTCTGCATAGCTAAGAGGAAGCATATTGCTGTGGTTCTGCGTGAGTGTTTGCAGGCTACACACAATCCATCAGCAAACTTTGAGACTTTGCAGATGGAGATGAAGAGACCACATCAAATTAGAGAGGAAATAGAAGGGTGGATGTTCACCTAATTGGGGTCATTCTGTGACCTCTTAGCAAATGAATTCATCAGCCTGGTGGAAAAGTACTGCCATATGGATTAGGTCTGAGTAAGCTCATTAGAGGGGCATTATTCTACTGAAATTATAGCATTAGATTTGTAGAATGACTTCTATTCAGCCAACAAGTTGGTACTCCATATTTAATGATCATAAATCTTTGTGTAAGCTCTGCAATTTATGAAATTTCATTAGCTCATTATCCTTTGCGCTTGTTGCCAAATACTATCAATCCTACTTTAAAAACTTCTTCATTCCAGAACTTAGAGCCCCGGTAGTTCTGGCTTGATATTCCTGTAGCAAATCCATGCTCCTAATTCCGCAGTTCACCCTTCAGACCTTGCCACCTTCATCAACTCTATCCTTAACAGTAAACACTAGATGCCTTATACTAATTCCATTCTGCTGGAACTCCACTTCTTAAAGGCTATCGTGACTGGTGACTTTTGAAGTCCTGTTTGTGGCCCCTTAATCACACTGATTTCCGAGGATGGCCACCTCTTGATCACGCAGTCCTCATAGCTATCCTTGTACTCATCTCATGCAAGATTTTCAAGATCGAAACTCCCTCTTCTTCATCTGCTTCTCATCAATCTGGACTACCCCAGTCATCAGCCAAGTCTTATTGTTCATCAAGCTTTATGGGTTTCACATTGTTTTCATTGGTGGGTCTACTTTTTTCTCTTCTGTTTTTCTTTTTTTTTTCTTTTTCTTTTTTTTTTTGAGACAAAGTCTTTGCCCAGGCTGGAATACGGTGGCATAATCTCAGCTCACTGCGGCCTTGAACTCCTGGGCTGGAGTCCTCCAACCTCAGTCTCCTGACTAGTTGGGACTATAGGTACACATCACCATGCCCAGCTTTTTTTGTTTGTTTGTTTTTTGTTTTGCTTTTTTATTAGATACAAGGTTTCGCTATGTTGCTCAGGATGATCTTGAACTCCTGGCCTCACCACGAGAGATCCTCCCATCTCAGCCTCCCAGAGTGCTAGGATTACAGGCAAGAGCCACCACACTCGGCCTTATTTTCCATTTTTGATGTGAATTCTCTCCTCCCTAATTAGGCCTTCTCTTCTCTACATTAGGTCTATAAGTACAAGCACAGTACCACCTCTTTCTGTAGAGTATACTCTGGGCCTTTAATGAATTCTTTTTCAATTAAATAACCAGCTTACATACAACAGGGACAATATAAACTTGGTCAATATAAACTTCTCAAATTTCTACCCCCTGGAGTCACTCTGAGGGTTCCTAAAACTTTCTTTTATCCGCGTTGTTTACCATTCCTCAGGCCCTCAAGCCTAACTGTAATCATAACCTCAGTCCTTCCACCCCAGGTGTCAAGGACTGAAGTCTCCCTTCTCCATTTAAGAAATGCAACAGAACCCGAAGGTTTGGAGAAAGGCCACCCAGGAGCGGACGTGGTGGTGTGAAGCTCTGCTGGGGAAGGAGAGCAGGTGGCTCCTTCCATTGGATTAGAGTCCTCTGTCCAAAACCAAGTAGCTAGGAGGAACACTAAGAAATGCCCACATACCCATCCACATGCTAGAGAGAACAGACTGTCCCCAAATGGGTCTCTGTGGTGCTCCCAAAGTCATTTTATTCTGCAGGGACTCACATGGCATGAACATTGCAAAAATTATGTTTCTTTTCGCTTCTAGCAGCTGGGAATGGCGAGTGGGGCCTTAGTCTTGAATTCTCACAGAGCTAAGCAGTTTC